TTTGTTTAATCCATATTCAAAATTCAATGTTTATTATTCAATATTCAGTTGTCTATCCAGAAGTCTGTTTAACTAGTTTTTAAAATAAAGCACATTTTGTGGACATTGAAAGTAGCATTCATTACTAAAAACAATACCTTCAGAATAAGTTTTTTGATCCATCAACGTCGCGAATGAAAACAATTTTAATAACTATCAATATAAACGGTAAATACACAATAACTGTAACAATAATAATAGCAATTATAATAATACTTCATCAAAACAATAACATTAATCAGTCAAACCGACCTGTTCACCTCAAAAACGCCACTCTCTTTACGTTGTCTCGGTGCTAAGACAATATTGGCTGGTGATTTATTCCTTTCAGCCTCTTTCCGCCGTTTAATTTCCGCATCCAACGATCGTCTCAGCGTATCAATTTCATCGTTCAATTTTTCGCGATCCCGTTCCGCATCGGCCAAAATTCTCTCTTTCTCCTGTGAATGAGCCATGAAATTCGCGTCAATCTGTGCCATCAGTTCACCGTTCAGTTTGCTTTCTACAGCTAAACGACTCTCGAATTCATTGCGTTGCTCTGATAGTCTGAAATATTGCTGAGTTTATCAGCTCATTCAATCCAACGAGCATATCAGTGATAAGGAATGCAATGAAGCAAAGAATTTGATCNCAATTGATTTACAGGCACAGAAGTGGATTTTGCTAGATGAACCACTCATTATATGCCCGAATAATTTGACAAAATGAATTTTTGCCTTGCCTACTACAATAATTTGTAAAGACTTCTTATCATAACTTCCATTAGAACTAATATCATTATCAATATAATCACGAATATCAATATTATTATCATCATGAAGGAAAAGAGTTCAATTCACTTCGATTTATGCGTTTCATTGGATGATTTCAATTGCCGTTCCACTTCGCGCAATTGTACCGAAAGTGCAAGCGAATGCTCACGTACTGAACACAATTCTTCATGAGTCGCACGTTGAGTATGTCTGAAAATCACATTTGATATTGTGGAATCGTAGAATATTCCCATCACAATATTCATCACATACTCGTTTTTTTCGAATTTCCTCATATTTTTCAGTTGAAATGGAATTTTTCAGCAGATAACAGGACAAAGTTATGTTATATGTTATACATCTTCAGGTTTTACTTCGATTCGGATGATGCTGATTTTATGTTGTGGTTCTGAAGTTTCGCAATGATATGGATACTTAGATAAGAACAGAATGGTCGCAGTTCTTGGAAAAAACAAAATTCTGACAGTAATGAACGATGCTCACGTAAGATTTTCGATAGTCTTGGTTTGTTGTTGAATGGTCTGTTCAAGTTGCTCAATTTCATCTTTATTGCTCGGCTCTCCATCGTCACTACCCTTCTTTTGCTCCAAAACGTACAGAGCTCGAGTCTAAAACCGGACAAACTATGACCAGTGATATTTTACTGGCAATCGCAAACACATCATAAACATTTCAATTGTTTTATAATTCGGAACCTAAAAAATATTCCAGCTGGAACAACTGAATCTTATACGTTTACCCAAAGAACTTCAGAATTGAGGGAAAAGATCCGAGATTTGCTATCGCCATATTCACCTTGAATGTAGTATGCTCTTGAACAAGATCATCGTATTGTCTTTGTAAAGATTCTCGCTGTGATCTCAACGAGACGAGCTGTTTATTCAGTGATACGCAAGTGGCTTCCAGTTGTCGAGTTTTCTCATCGGCTGCCGCAATCGCAGCGCTGAATTCCATTTTCTCATCAGTTCGGTTGTCGGTCAACTTTTTGATAGTTTCTTCCATCGATCGCTTGTCCGTTTCCAAGCCATTAATAATGTCTTTCTTCTCTGAAAGCCAACAATCAAAACTGCACGATAAGTGGGTGCTTTGAGAACATATTACTTCATATCACATATACAGTCCTCCTAAAATCCGGAATATTTGTACTTGGAGTAGTTATGCAGAGCACAAATATGTGAAAAACAGCTTTCGAGAAATTTAGTGTAATGGTTGAGTGAGTAAAAGCAGATGAGAATGTATAATCAAGGAATTCAAAGGAGCAAAGGAAAACTGAGGCGCATATTATATTGACGTTCGGATCAATATTAACGAGAAATGAAAATGATCAATTTTGAAGCATATCCAACAGAAATTTTGGCCACAAAATTTGTTCGAGCAATCTCAATCGAACAGAATGGCAAATCAACATCGGAACTATCTATATATGCATAAATATAACGTTTTGAATATAAATACACCAGAGATTTCAGTTCAATTCCGTTGGAATAGAACAAAATCCGAAATCCGGATCACATCGATCCTCTCACCTACCATCTAATTCAGCTTTCAGCTTAACAACAGCTGATTTCATTTTAGTGAATTTCTGGCTAATCGCTTGCTTCTCGTCTCGAATCGTGTTCGCTTCCGATCGTGCCAATTCCAGTTCGGCGTTTAGTGATGCGCAGTCATCTTTGGTCATTTTCAACTCTTTTTGTACCTTCTCGAGCGATTTCTCATAATCAGCGATCTCCAACGAGAACACATTTTCGGCGTTCCTCTTCTGAAATAAACAATTTCGTCCCTTTCAACTAAATTTCTTAGTTCCATTAAATCAATTCGTCAACAAATTCTTTGGCTTTCCTCAACCAACCATCGTAAGTTCATCTTCTTTTTCAAAATTATGAAACAAATGAGACAAATCACACTTTGCATCAGCAAACTGGACTAAATACTTGTGTGTTGCGGGAATGGAAAAAAAAGTCGGGGACCCTGAAAATTCAGCCAGCTCGAAAAAAATCGGGGACGGGGTCCCCGAAGTTCTCCAGTCCTCGCAAAACAATACTATCGCGAGTTCAACGCGTAGTGACCAATTATATCATAAGTGTACGGTAATTGAATAGCCTACCTCTTTGATAACATTCAGCTGCTCGTTAGTATCGTCCAATGAGGAGCGTAGCTCATCTACTGTATACTGTAACTCTTCGTTACGTTTCTCAGCCTGTAAACACAATTTGACTGAAGTGAGATAACTCGTGCTCTTCCATTGAAACTAAGGATCGGAAATGCTCTCAAGCATTACATTATAAATAAATGAATTGCACTGCATTGTAGTACATCAGTTACTGAATTATGAATAATCAAATCGATGATATAAACAAATCAGAAAATAATTTACAAACGATACTAACAAAAATCATAACAAGCTGAATATACCCACAAATATACTATTGAATATGACATGCAAACGAGCAGATACCTTCCTGAGCTTTTCAGTTTCTTCTCTGAACATATCCTTGAGTGTTTTCATTTCATTCAAATGCTCTCGAACAGTTTCATTCATTTCGTTCAACTGCTCCCGCAATCTCACTTCATCTTCCTCTTTCTGGAAATTTTTATTCTTCGGTTAATTTCCAGCTTCATTTCCAGATGAAGTGGCGAGATAATGCTACTATCTGATAATGTAAAGACCAGAAATGAGCTGATAGTGAGTGCTCAAAAATGTGAACTGGATTTTCTTAATATTAAGATTCA